TTTATTTATTATGTATACAGTATTCTGTCTGTGTGTATGTTTGCAGGCCAGAAGAGGGCACCAGATTTCATTACAGATGGTTGTCAGCCACCATGTGGTTGCTGGGAATTGAACTCAGGACCTTTGGAAGAGTAGGCAATGCTCTTAACCACTGAGCCATCTCTCCAGCCCCCCGGAATTTTATTCAAACCAAAAAATGGAATCCTTTTCCAATCTTCTCTGGGCATAGTAGAATAAAGTCCCAGCTCCTAAGACACCAAGCAGGCGGGGGCTGGAGAAATGTCTCAGTGGTTAAGAGCACTGTCTGCTCTTTCAAGGTCCTGAGTTCAATTCCCAGCAACCACGTGGTGGCTCCAAACCATCTGTAAAGAGATCTGGCACCCTCCTCTGATGTGTGGGTATAAATGGAGGCAGAAAGTTGTATACATAATAAATAAATCTTAAAAAAAAAAAAAAGACACCAAGCAGGCTCCGTGACGGAGCAGTAGTTGAGTGTTTACATCTGTTCCACAAGTGCTGCCCAGAGAAAGCGAACTTAACCTTAAAACCCACCCCCAGTGACACACCTCCTCCAGCAAGGCCACACCTTCTAATCCTACCAAAGGGCAGACAAGCCCTCAAATGCCTGTGCCTCTGAAGGCCATCTCATTCATTTCCCCCCCCACACACACACACAGCACTCTACCCTCTGCTCAGGGGTGCCCTCTTGACCTTGACCTGGCAGTCGGAAGAGCTGAAAACAGCTTTTCTCTATTTGGAAATTGTCATCAATTTCCAGAATAATGTGAATTATTCTTAATTGCTAGTAAGAGTAAATTCTTCTCATGGAGTCGGTTATGAAAAAACAAAAAGGCATGAAAGTTAAATTTAAAAATGAAATACAGGACTGGAACAATGGCTCAGTGGTTAAGAGCGCTCACTCAAAGGACCTGGGTTTGATTCCCAGCACCCACAGGGAAGCTCACAACTGTCTGGGATTTCTGTTCCAGGGAATCAAGTTCCCTCTTCCGGCTTCCACAGACACACACATGTTCTACAGACATACATGCAGACAAAGTACCTATACACATTAAAAAAAACTTTTAAAAATCAAATATGATAAAAATGAGATGTGGCCCTTGAGATGGCTTTGCAGGTAGAGATGCTTGACAACCTGAATTTCTAACCCTGGGACCCCATGGGGGGCAAGTGAGAGCTGACTCCCAGGAGCCACCCTCTGACAGTCACACTCATCCCAGGGCACACACGCATTTGCACTTCCGTATGCACTTTTAAAAATATATAAATATAAAAAAGAAGGTTGCACAATTTTAATCCTAGCACCAGGAGACTCAGCAGGCCAGTCTGGACCACAGAGTGAGAATCTATTTCCAAAAACCACCAAGAAAGCTGTGGTAAGAGGGCTGAAAGGGTAAGGTGTATGGCCGATTCTGTGTTACCCTCTTGGTACAGTTTGCAGGCCACTGTACTGTAGGCGAGC